CACAGTGACTTCTAGTATAGCAACATATCTGTTTTCAGGTTGCTTTGTTCTCTTTTGTTCAAATCTAAAATATCCCTTAGATTTCTTGATACAAAATGATATTGTGACAGAGGCAATAATTTTCTCCTCCAAAGTAATTTCTGACATTTTCACTGAATCTTTGGACTCAGGCCTTATTAATCTTTTTGAATGTTTTTAATATTTTTCGCCTTTGACATTCTAGTGAAGGTGTATTGTATAGTTTATTCAGGCAGCCTGAGTGTGCATTAAAGATGCTATGGTTGTCTTCCTGGTACTTTAGTATGTAGTTTGTTTGTTGTTGTGCTTTTTTTTTTTATTCCAGCACACTTATTATAATGCCCCTAGCAAATTACTTATTCTGCAAAAGAAAAGGGAATAATATAACAATGCATAGCATTGCAAAAAGTTACATAATGAAATGTTGGTGCTTTCTTTTTATTTCTTTCTTGGGATGCTGAATACATTTGGGAAGTTAAAGCAAGAAGGATATACAGCCTCTTTTTCTAACTTTACCTTCCTCCTTCTATTGAAAGAGTTTGTGAGTTTGTTATCTTCCCCTCTGAATAGTTCCAGAGGTATTACGTCAAGTTTGTTAGTTCATTTGTGGATTTTAGTGTGAAAGACTTTGTTTTTGGATTTAGGGAGTATCTCTTGATGCAGGAATGATGCTTGTTGTACATCATAGAAAACATATTACATCTTAAGAGACAGCTGCTGTCTGGCCTAAATAAGTCTTCCTACTGCTATTTGAACAATGGTGCAATAACATGCTTTGGTAGGAACGCCTGGAAAAATTCCTCTCCTGCGTGGTAAGTGTTGAAATCCTTCAGTGAAACAGTGAGAATGTATTGAGGCTTGGCGTACTGAAAGGGGCACATCTTTAGATCACTGATTTTTCTGTGCCCTTTTCATTGAACAAATGAATTTTTAATAATGCTAAAAGAGCGAGACAGTGGACTTAGAAGACAAATATGAATGTGACTGAAGATGATGTATCTACTTGAAAGACTCAGAGGTTCATACACAGAACCCCAGAGCTTATTCAAATTCTTTCTGAGTATGGAGTATTCTAAATTTTTCATTTTCCTGTTGGAAGAAGAAGGGAAATATCAGTGAGCTGTGTGCTCTGTTAGTGTTTTAGGATTACAGAGAGGGAAGCAGACCAGAGCAGTTTCTGATTTACGCTGCCTTGTGTTGATCCCCTACAGCTCATTTCCCAGCAGCAGATAGCCCACGTACAAAAGCTAGCTAAGCCAGGGCTGGAAATGGAAATGTCAGAAGACGGGCTCTGCGCTCCTGGAAATTCTTTTAGTCAGAGCAGCTCTGCACTGACAAGTCCGTCCGCTTTGCATCTCTCCAGCGTCAGGAGGGAGGCAAGACAGAAAACCACACAAATCCAGAACTGAGACTTCTGCATTTTGGCTCCATCCTCTTCTCTCTGCTGACTGACAAAAACTCTGTGATTTCTTATTCCGGCTACAGGCATTCAGGGGCGGATGTCTGGAAGCTTGTACTACATGGACTGGCAACCCCTTAGTTTGAGGTTAAGGATGCACAAAATTGAATTGTTTCTTCCTTCCTGCAAGTCATTGCTTGCCCCGTTGGCAGGGCACGGAGGAAAGCTAGCCGTGCTCTTGCTGCCGCCTCTCTACTTTGTGGAGAGCAGAACTTAAGAATTTGCCAATTTCGGGAGAAAAAATACTGTCTAAAGCACTGTCCTCTAAATTATTGAGTTTTGTAACCAAATCAACTGGCTGGTCTTGAAATCTCCGACACAGTTTTTAGGGAGGTGTTGTGTAGCTCCTTTAGGATCACTGAATTAATGATTAAAATACATTTTTGACAATCTATTTTAAAACATATATTAAAAAAAACCCCTAACTGTAGGATTACTTTTATAAGCATTTTCCAAGCAAAAATCTCTATGTACATAGCTGTTGTTATTTTTGCTAAGCCACAGAATTTAATATTTTATTCTCAGTTAATATACTAGAAAAATATTTACTTGGAGACATGATTCATTCTGACTAATGAGATCAAGCTAATTCAGACCAAAGCTGAATACAGAAATAAATTTAAAATTGTTTGGGGTTTGGTTTTGGGGTAGGTTTTTTTATTGGGTTTTTTTTTGGTGGTTTTTGGTTTTTTGGGTTTTTTTTTTTTTTAGAATGGTAGAATGCCCTGTGTGAAATTAAGGGCAGATAGAAATTAAGATAAGGCAGAAGTGAATCTCACCCAAGCTGACCCATCTGGCTAGCACTAGTCTCGCTAGCCAGTGGCCTGGAAAGGGTTGCAGTGGATCACATCTAACTTACTTTTTGAGTACTCCTTTGTAGCTAATTAAATGAGAGATGATCATCAACGTCGGTAGGAAATGAGGCTTTGAATCCTTGGTGTTGCATCAATAAGTGTTTTAACAGCTCTGCCATTACCTTAATTTTCAAGTATTGAAGTACCTCCTCAAAAGCCAATCAAGTGTAAAACGGTATAAAGAAGTAACACTGTTTCATGCAGGATTTTGGTTATTTGTTTTGATTAAAAATGAAAATAAAAGAATATCAGCATTTTTCTCCACTAAGATGTCAGCCTGGCCTCTTAGCTGTTATGCACTGTGGAAAAAATTGGAGGTCACCTTTCCCGAGAGCTCTTAGAGGTGATTTTTTTTTTTCTTGGTAGCCCAGGGCAGTCTCCTGGAAGCTGGATTTTAAGACCAGATCGAAAGTTGGCTTCCTCAATAGCAGCCTGATAAGCCATTAAGGAACCAACTGAAGAAGCAGCATGGGATCAGATGATCACCCATGACACCCATTCCTGGCTCCCCAGGAAACCTGCCTCCAAGTCTCCATTGAGCATTTCAATTTCAACCAACCAGCCTATTAGAATGAAAAGTGGCTTTTATTATAGTATTTTGACTTATTCCTAGCAACAAGCTTTTGGCCTGGAGGTCATAAATGCATTTTTTTTTTTTTGTGACTAAAAGGAAAACTTCATTATTTTTGCCCTGAAAATATTAAGGAAAATTCGTTGTCTAAAATGACATGCATCTGAATTTAGCCAAGTGTGTAGACTGTGGGGACATCTGCTGGGGTGCTGGGAAATGGCAGACTTCAAAGTGTGTCTTGACGGTGAAATGATTCGAGCGTGAATATGCCAAAAATTGTTAATATTGCAGCATTCTCTCAAGGCTGAGAATTTCACATTTTACCCGCAAAGGAAACCAAGTGCCCATATCGCAATATTTCCATGCTAATCGCTCTAGCAGAACACTTAAGACCTCTATAAGCACATCTAGGCATAACCCTCTTAATTTAAAAAGTCTCTATTTTGGTCATGTAAAAAAATCCATAGAAGAGGAGAAATCTCTGGAAATTCGTGTAATCACGAGTGAGCCAAGAGAAGCTGATGTCCTGTGAGGCAGATCAGCTCAGTCAGCCCCGACCACATAACGGCCTTCTGCATCTTCCTGTAGTACCCTCGGGATGGAAAGGCTTTTCTTGCAGCTGGAAATGAAAAATGGCCTTCTTTCCTGGCTACCAGCTCTTGCGGCAGCCGTCTGAGGACCAGCAGAGGAGCTTCGGTGATGAGACTGGTGCAGCCACGCGTTGCCACATCACAGAACTGTGGCCTGAAATTTATTTATTGTTTTTATTAAAACTAAGCAAAAATGCCATTAAAAAACTAATCCCGGCTTGAATCTGATAGTATACGCAGCCCTAAATTGAGCCAAAATTGTCAAATTCATAAACTTTGGTGGAATCGTGGAGTGAATTCTGTTCCAAAACTTTGGTATAGTCTTAATTAACTTGCTAAGGTTCAGGAAACTTTCATCTTGTCAGCTGGAAAAGAGGTGGCTGGAGGGATGATACGTATCTGTTCTGGCTATTTGGTTAAAGTGACATTTAGTGTTCCATTTTCCTTGTGTACTTCCCTATATATCTGTATAACCTGCCTCCTGCTGTCTGAAATTTTAAGATTGAGGGGCTGGCACCGTCTTCTAGATTTGTGTTTGGAAAGTGCCTTTGCAGTGATGTTTTCTGCAGGCACAAGAATAGAATGAGAGGTGGAGGTGGATGCATTTTAAACTCTTCTGCTGAAATTTTCAGATGCCTGTGTACAGACAGAGGTCCATGTATTTAGACAACTAACATAATTTTCACGATTTCTAGCCCCTTCTTGCCCTGCTCTCCATGTTACTTACACTGAGCTCAAATCCTGTTTGCAGCCCAGTCAATGTCAATGATACTCTATAGCCCTTTTTCCTGCATCTGTCATATTCCATTTGGAAACCTTGTTGGGGATTAATGGGTGGAAATTGATGGTATAGATCAGGGCAGAAGTTGTTTCACAGCTGAGTCAATTTTGTTAGTGCAAAACCAGTGCACCAAACATCTGGTTAGAATTATTTTTATTCCATCTTTAAGAATGAATACTTAAATATGAAAAATGTGAAGCAAAATATAGTCTCCCCTATCATCTGTATGCTCCCTCCATATAGTCTCTATACTTCTAGACAAAAGCAAAGCTGAGAAAGCTAGGAGAAGCTATTTTTTTGCTAAATTAAGAATCTCCCCTGCCCTGGCACATCTGTACTGTTTGCTATATAAATATATTTATTCTTTATTATTGGTAAATTTAAGCATCTGACCAAATATTAACAGGTAAAACAGCTTTAAGAATGCTTCAAAGAAAAAATTAATGATGCTTTCATATAATTGTTAATACAGTGGTGTTACAAATTTAAAGTAAAAATATTGAATTTAATTTACCTACTACTTAGAGAAATGGATTAGTCCTAAATTATCCTAACAGTGTGATCTGTGCACAGTATAAATTTGTCTGATATGGTATTTGGTGTTAGTTGTAAAAGTAGAAATGAAAATAGGGTGTTTTAAACCAGATACTTTGTAAACTGATCACCCCAGGATATTACGTTCCATTAAACTTATAATAAATACCTTTTTCTTTTTTTCCTTGCTCAGGGGCGTGCCTCATTAACATCTGAGAAACAACGTTTTGCCCACGAACATGGTGAAATGAAAAATCTAGAAGATATTGTTAAAGATATAAAACCATCTGTTCTAATAGGTAATTTACTTTAAAGCAATGACCTTATTCTTTGTTGGAAAAAAATGGGGATGTGGCTTTGTCTGAAGACAAGATCGAGTTCCTCTGAACAGAGTTTACCTTTGTGTGTTTTTAGAAAACACTGGGGGTATAATGGACTCTATTAAGCAACTGAACAAACAGTAACCATCCAAGCATGTAACACTGCTTTCACTGCAGCCATCTGTTTTACAGGGAGAATAATCCAAGTTGGTTTAAACGTCTGATGGAGAACCTTACCATCTTCCTAAATGACTTCTGATTTAATGTGGATGGTGTAATACAAAAACCCTCAAACTTAGACTGAGAAAACTGAGCTAAGCACATGTAAAGCTGTGCAAATCTGAGCACGGGGTAGCTGAATCTTCTTTTTCCTCATATTTAGGTCCTTAGCCACCAGTCCTTTGTGCAGACTAAAACACAGATTTTACAAAGACTTTTTCTTTTATAAAAGCTGCAGGATTTGGGATCTCAGTAAAGGATTGCTCAGCTCTCTGCAGTTTGGTTATTTCATTTCAGTGACAGTTTCAGGAATGAACTGCAAGTACTCTTAAATATTTTTTTTTAATATGTAAGACTTGAAAATTCATATATCTGGCTAGTAAAATCATTCGTCAGATGCTGGAAAATCTGAAATGCCACAGTGAAAATTATCCTGCATTTTAAGAGCTGCCTTTTTGACTGTGGCTAGACCATATGGTCCTTGTTCAATAAAATCTGCTTTTGGAAATGATTATGAATGAGATAAGTAAAGCTTATCTTTTTCTATGCTCCATAAAGATAGGACTGCAAGACAGAAACCAAGTAGTCTAGAGAATTTATTTAGTAGAATACGAGGCTGGAAAAACTAGTGGAACAGAAGAATAGATTGAATGATCGGTGATATTTATCTAGATAAAGATGTGTGGATGCTTAGGGAATGTTTGCTGTCATGAAATATAGCTGTTTGCTGTGTGTCATTTTTATATATAAATCTATGCAGCACTTTCCCTCAAGGTCACTTTCTCCTATCCATACTGCATAAGGAAGCTCTTCCAACAGAAACAGCAATGAAAATTAATATTGGGCTGGGTTTTTTTTTGATTTGGAGGACTAGGCATTCAGTATCTTCCCCTGGGCAGCAGGAGTCATGGGGAAATATGTTGATACTCCTTTTCCCAATATTTTACTCAACTCTTTCTCAGTGAATCCTTATATATATTTGTCTGCGATCGCTCAAGGAAAAGCCTTAGTTTAGCTTGATCAAATATAAGAAATTGCAATTTTAAAATGAAAGTCAAAAAAGGAATAGTCAGTGAGATTGTTCAGACCATTTTGTTTTAACTATATATCTGAAGATAGTTGTCATCCTTACTATTGGCTGTCCAGAATCAGTTTTAGAAGACATTAAACAATTTGCAACTGCAGACTTAACCAGAAACTAGGGTGTATAACAAACAGGCTCTTGTACAAGTGGGTCAAAATCATGCCTGCCATAACTGCTCATCAAACATACAGTGGCCCAGCTGGTCTAGCAGGGCTCTTGCATCTGAGCTTCCTTGTCCATTCATAGAAGGTGAAGTACAGAAAGCTCAGATTTGCGAACAATAGTAGTATGTGACAGAAATGTTTGAGCAAGACAGGTTTAAACTTTGAGAGAAGTAACTGATTTGCATCAATTGAGGAGTTGCCTCTTTTGTTATCATGGGATCAGAATAAAGGAGATTTGGCCAGATGCAAAATCAGATGGATCTTAGTTATTATTTCGCCCACATCAAGCACCTAAAGGGCACCTAAAGGGCCTGTCATAGGGTGCTTGGGCTTTAAGTAGACTTCTTGGGAAAGTCCAATTTAAATCAACTCAGGGAATTTCAGTGGGACACCCACTTCTCCCTGTTGAGAGATGTCCCTGTGCTTGAAGATGTCTCTGTAAGATGATACCATACTTCATGTAGAAGCAGTCACAAAGTACTCTGAGACACCTTTAAGAAATGTTAGTTCTGGAGCATGCATGACCTTCTAGTCATCTCTAACTCTCCTGTCACCTCCCTTCAAGTACCTTGTGCTCTCCTCGGGCAGACCCCAAGCTGTCCTTTTAGACTGGACAATGTTGGGGTGCTCTTGTGTATGAGTGACAAGAGGTTAGAGTACTGACCCAAGAGCGATCTTTTCCTGGCCCAGATTTGAATCCATTCCTATTCCCCAAAAGAGAGGTAACAACAGCTTTTTTCCTGCT